CTCCTCACCCCCAACCCCACTCATGCCCTCACCCTCCTGGTGTCTGTGTCCATTGGTCAGGCTTATATGCATGCACACAAGTCCTTTGGTTGATCTTTCCCCTTACCTCCACCCTCCCCTACTTTCCCTCTGAGGTTTGAGATCTGATCGATGCTCCTCTGTCTCTGGATCTGTTTTTGTTCATCATTTATCTTTCTCTGGCTAGCTTACTTCACTTAGCATAATGCTCTCTAGTTCCATCCATGCTGTTGCAAATGGTAAGAATTTCTTCTTTTTTAACGCAGCATAGTATTCCATTGTGTAGATGTACCACAGTTTTTTTAATCCACTCTTCCAAAAGAACCCCCTTCAGCAATTCATATAATTCTGGTTTGGCAGTGATGAACTCCTTTTGCTTTTTTTTTTTTTTTTTTTTTTTTTAGTGCAGCTCTTTATCTGGTCTTCAATTCTTAGTGATAGCTTTGCTGGGAAGAGTATTTTTGGCTGTAGGTTCTTGCTATTCATCACCTTGAATATTTCTTGCCATTCCCATTTGGCCTGCATGGTTTCTGTTGAGAAATCAGCTGACAATCGTATGGGTGCTCCTTTATAGATAAATACCTGCTTTTCTCTTGCTGCTTTTAATATTCTCTCTTTGTCTTTTGCTCTTGGAATTTTAATTATGATGTGTCTTGGTGTGGTCCTCCTTGGAATCCTTTTGTTTGGGGTTCTGTGCGCTTCCCGGATTTGTAAGTCTATTTCTTCACCAGGTGGGGGAAGTTTTCTGTCACTATTTCTTTCAGTATGTTTTCGATATCTTGCTCTCTCTCATCTTCTGGGACCCCCATAATTCTGATGTTGGTTCGCTTGAAGTTGTGCCAGAGATTTCTTACATTATCTTCATCTTTCTGGATTCTCTTGTCTTCTTGCTTCTGTGGAGGAGTGTCTTCTGGCTTTTTATGTTCCAAATCTTTGACTTGATTCTTGCAATCTTCCATTCTGTTTTTAGGACTCTGTATAATATTTTTTATTTCAGACAATGTATTCTTTATTTCTTGTTGATCCCTTATTAGTTCTTGTTGATCCCTTATTAGTTCTTGTTGATCTCTTTTCATCTCCTCATAGGTCTTATCGACCTTTTCTAGGAAATTCTTGAAAAACCTTATAAGTGTGGTTTTGAACTCTATATCCAGTTGCTTCTTGTCCTCCATTTCTTTTGTTTGTGATCTGTTTCCTTTTCTCGGCATTTTCACAGCTTCCCTGAGTTGGTAGGGTGGCTTTGTGTGCTAAGGTGTCCTATATGGTTCAGTGAGTCAGCTTCCCAGTTACCTGAGGTGGACAGTCTTGGTGTAGCCCTTTGTGGGCTGTGTGTGCAGTCTTGTTGTTAAGCCTTGCTTGTTGTTAGTATCACTGGGAAGCGTTGATCTCCAACCCAATTGGCTATGAGGATCAGAAGTGCCTCAGCTAGGAGGGTTTCTGTATTCCGCTTGAATGGGGCGGAGTCTCAGACAAGCTTTGTTGAATCCCGCACAACTGGTTGCAGACAAGCTTTAGATTCCTGTCTGCCCCTCCCTAGAAGAGTCCTATTGGCAGCGAATGAGGAAGCTAGCCACTGGAAGGGCCTCTGTGCTCCGCTTGGATGGGGCGAAGTCTCGGGTGGTGCAGACAAGCTTTATTCAGCCCCTCCCTACGAGGGTCTGGTTTCCGAGTCCCGCAGTAATGGCTGCTGGCTTCACACACCTCCGAGAGATCTCTGCCCACTGCCTGACAGTCTGGCCTCTCCCTGTCTGGGGCTGTCTATCAGCGCAATAGGGTGGTTCTGTTTTCCTCCCGAACAAGAAAGCCAGTCTCGCATTAGCTGTCCGCCCTCTCCATGCGCAGGAAGTAAGCCGGTAACGAACTTGGCCCGCCCTCTCCGTGCTCCAGCGAGCGAACTCTGTGGCCGCCTTTTCGCACGCACAGTTCTCCGCACCTTCATAGTTCCTGAGGTTCAGCACGCCTTCTTTCTCCTTCCCAGGTGGTAGAACCTCCTCTCAGCCAGCCGTCCGGCGCTTCAGGGTGATGTTTCCCCTGTTTTTCAGTTCTAAATTCAAATTTGTTGTGGTAGGCTGCATTCGGGTGTCTAGCCTATGCCGCCATCTTGGTTTCTTGTCAAATAAATTTTTATTGGGGGCTTAAAAGGATATTATTAAGATTTTCAGGTCCAGCTATCCATGCTTAGCTAAGACTCCCCAACAAGTGCCATTCATCCTGTGGCCTAAACAGTGTGATTCACAGGGAACTCACCTCCCTTGAGATAGAACTGCTGCTTTATACTGAGTTGCTTGTAGCTTACACCCCCCCTTTTTTTTTTTAGCTTCTCTCCCTGGAGCCTCTGGATCTCTGTGAAACTCAAGACTAAAGGATAATTTCCTCTCTTGTTCGTTCCCTTCCTCCTATTTAAACAGGTAAGTTTATTTCCTGGATGTGACAGGACTAATAATAAAAATGTTGTGCTATGGCCGAAACCGGTTTGGCTCCATAGATAGAGCGTCGGTCTGAGGGCTGAAGGGTCCCAGGTTCGATTCCGGTCAAGGGCATGTGCATTGGTTGCGGGCACGTCCCCAATAGGGGGTGTGCAGGAGGCGGCTGGTCGATGTTTCTCATTGATGTTTCTAGCTCTCTATCCCTCTCCCTTCCTCTTTGTAAGAAATCAATAAAATATATTTATTAAAAAAAAAAATGTTGTGCTATGACTACAAGGCCCTATTGCTTTTTAGGTCACTTTATATATTACATAAAGGCACGAAAATATAGTATGGGCTGGGGTTTTAATTTCTAAATGGGATCCTTAATTGCATCCCAAACTCTTCCCAGTTCTATTCTTCACATAAAGATGGCTGCCAAGCTCAGCTAATCCCATCTTTCGCAATTTTCCATCCAGTCCTTCATCTCTCCATTTCCCCTCATGCTGGTTTGGGGCCCCAATCGACCCCTCTGACTCAACCCAATAGATGACCTAACCTTTCCCAACCTCAGCTCCACCTCACGCCGATCCATCACACAGGCTGCTGCCAGTGCAGCCTTCATACACCGCTCCCTTGCAGATGTAGCATAGCATCTAGCTCCTGAAGGTGCTCATAAATACTGGTAGAGGGAGGGACTAAAGACAGTGACTGGCTGTAGTGAATACTACACTTGACATCATAACTCACTTATAGTGTTCACTGTTGTCAGAGGCAATTTCCTTGAGTTTTAAACAAAAGCTACTTTACATAAAGTTTTACCAAAGAATTAAAAAATTTTAGTCAGTATATGAAAAATACATTTTAAAAATTTAAATAGTGATACAATTTTATCTATTGATTGATTTTTAGAAAGAGAGAAAGAAACATCAAGTTTTTTGTTGCATATATTTATGCATTCATTGGTTATTTCTTGCATGTGCCCGGACTGGGATTGAACCTGTAACCTTGTATATGGGGATGTTGCTCTAACCAACTGAGCCACACCAGCCAGAGCTAACAGGACTTATTTGACCAATAGTTTCACAAAAATTCTAGCTGCATGCACTCCCCTTAGTGCTCAGACTTTCTAAAGAATAAACTGGCCCTAAATGGATAGAGCATCGGCCTGTGGACTAAAGGATCCTGGGTTCGATTCTGGTCAAGGGCATGTACCTTGGTTGCGGGTACGTCCCCAGTGAGGGGTATGCAAGAGGCAGCTGATTGATGTTTCTTTCTCATTGATGTTTCTAACTCTCTATTTCTCTCCCTTCCTCTCTGTAAAAAATGAATAAAATATATGTATAAAAAAAAGAATAAACTGTGCCAAAGCCGGTTTGGCTCAGTGGTAGAGTGTCGGTCTGCAGACTGAAAGGTCCCAGGTTCGATTCCAGTAAAGGGCATGTACATTGGTTGCGGGCACATCCCTGGTAGGGGGTGTGCAAGAGGCAGCTGGTGGATGTTTCTCTCTCATCGACGTTTCTAGCTATCTCTCTCCCTTCCTCTCTGTAAAAAATCAATAAAATATATATATTTTTTAAAAGAATAAACTGTAAATATGAAGTAAGAAAGACAATACAAACAACAACCCATTGTTATGTGGAAAAATGCTTGGATTCAAGAAGAATCTAGAAAGAAACTCAAAGCAAAATAATTTCATAGTGTGGTATTAAACTAGCAATCATAAGTCAAATTTAAAACGCCAATGGCTGCCCTGGCCAGTTTTGTTCAGTGATTAGCATGTCAGCCCATGGACTGAAGGATCCTGGGTTCAATTCTGGTCAAGGGCACATGCCTCGGTTGCAGGCTCAACCCTAGCCCTAATCAGGTGCATGAGGAAGGCAACCAATCAATGTTTCTCTCTCCTTTCTCTTTCTCCCCTCCCTTCCACTCTCCCTAAAAAATTGACAAAATATCCTCAGGCAAGGATTAACAACAACAAAAAGCCAATGGCAACCTGAGAGGAAGTGGTTCATTTCACTTCAGACACCTATGGTGACACTGCAAATAGGCCCAGGATTTCAGGAGAACAATCTGGGCTTGCATAATAAGAACTATTAAACTTCTCTCACCTTTGGTTCCAATGATTCAGCTGGAGAAACATGCTTTAAGGAAATAAAGAAAACCAGATTTCTACACTATTTTTATTAGTGACACTAGGTCACATCTCAAAATAATCAAGTAGAAGACCAAGCTAACCATGTATCATCATGACATCAACACAAAGATATATTAAAAAGTCAGTTAAAATGATAAGCATATAGCCTATTCCAATAAATGGGGATATGTATTTAGTTTTAGCAACAGTGCTCATACTTAAGAACAATGGCTCTGAAATTAGACATTTCTTGATTTGAATCCAAACACTGCCCCCTCTACACTTCGAAGAAATGTTTCTCTTTAAACAATGGATTTGTAAGCAGAAGAAAGTTAGTGTGAATTAAGCCATGATAAGCCATGCCCTCCTTTCCCCCAAGCAGAGACAGGCTATGTATCAAATGTCACTTGAGTACTGGCTTCTGACCAGCGAGTGCTTACCTGGAGGAGATAAAGGAGTCCTGGGACAAACAAGGTGAGTGGGTACAGAGACTGGTATGTCGCTAAGGCAAGAAAAATAGCACTGAGGAAGGCACTACCTGTAAAAAGAAGTAAATGTATGGAATAATCCAGCCTCATCAATCAGAATTAGATTTGGAGGGCCCCCAAATCAAGAAACTTTCTCTAACTTTTCAAATAAATCACCTGTCAAATATCCCCTGATATACAAGGTGCTTTGGAAACTCACAGAGAGCCTCTTGGCTTGAATACCAATGAAAGAAAACAAGGAAGTCAAAACCATTTACCTTTAGCAACCTGAAATATCACAGGTATATTTATTTTAACAATTCCAGACCCATAAAGATTTTATAAAACTTCAGCCCAAAGGGGGGGGCGGGGAGTAAGAGATCAACAAAGGATTTGTATGCATGCATAGAAGCATAACCAGACGGGACTGGTTTGGCTCAGTGGATAGAGCGCTGGCCAGTGGACTGAAGGGTCCCGGGTTCGATTCCGGTCAAGGGCATGTGCCTTGGTTGCGGGCACATCCCCAGTGGGGAGTGTGCAAGAGGCAACTGGTTGATGTTTCTCTCTCATCGACGTTTCTAACTCTCTGTCCCTTTCAATTTCTCTCTGTGTAAAATCAATAAAATATATATTAAAAAAAAAAAAAGAAGCATAACCAATGGACACAGACAGTAGGGGGGTGAGGACCTGTGCTGGGAGCTGGGAGCGAGGAGCAACTGGGAGAGGTCAATTGGGGGAGGACGGGGGGGGGGGGGGGGGGAAGGAGGCTTATGTAATACTTTCAACAATAAAATACAAAAAAACACTTCAGCCCAAGATGAATAAAGGGATCAAGTCTATTAACATCATGTCCTATTTAAGTTACCAATTGATTATGCCTACAGTTATTGCTTAAGCTATTCAGAGTGAGAAACCTATTCTTTTGAATGTTCTAAAACCCCATCACTATTTTTTTTTAAGCATACATTTATTAAAGCTGGGGACAGTGAAATAAAGGGAGAGCTTAGGATAGAAGAAGCAACAGAAGAGAGCCTAGATGGTGCTACTTTGGCTCTCTAGAAACTTTATAAGAAGTGAGCCACCCAGGCTTCCTGGACTCATTTAAAAGTAAAAGTCACGTGACAGAAGTGAGCCAAGGCAGGACTGCTTTTGGCTTATTGAAAAGTCAGAGAGCCGAAACCGGTTTGGCTCAATGGATAGAGCGTTGGCTTGGGGACTGAGGGGTCCCAGGTTCGATTCCGGTCAAGGGCATGTACCTTGATTGCGGGCACATCCCCAGTAGGGGGTGTGCAGGAGGCAGCTGATCGATGACTCTCTCTCATCGATGTTTCTAGCTCTCTATCTCTCTCCCTTCCTCTCTGTACAAAAATCAATAAAATATATTAAAAAAAAAAAAGAAAAGAAAAAAAAAGAAAGAAAAGAAAAAAGAAAAGTCAGAGAAAAGGGGCCTTGGAGACAGGTTCAGGGGGTTGGCTCAGGATGAGCTGCTGCTGCTCCCCTGGTGGCAAGTCTTGTGGGGATCCTTAGAGATTAGGAAAAAGAGAATAAAAGTTAATTTCCAAGAAAAGGAGGGGTACAGGTGTGCCCTAAGGTGAGCAGATTCCCAGTACTATTTTTATAACACCCTTCTTTATGTACTATCTTCAAAACGTGTTTTTCAAATTAACATACATTTATTTATTTATTTATTTGTTTATTTACTTATTTATTTATTGTTACTCCTCACCCAAGGATATTTTCTCCATTGATTTTTTTTTTTTTTTTAGAGAGAGTGGAAGGGAGGGAGGGGAAACGAGAGAGAAAAAGAGGGAGAGCATCTACCATATGTGAGAAAGATACATCTATTGGTTGCCTCCCGCATGCACCCCAACAGGGCCAGGAATCAAACCTGCAATCCAGGTATGTGCCTTTGACTGGGAATTAAACCCAAGATCCTTTGGTACAAGGGCTGATGTTCTAACCACAGAGCAACACCGGCCCAGGCTTAAAATATATTAATTTTATTAATAATGTTTCCATTCTCTACATAAAAAAACCCACTATGGAATCATTAAACATGATGGTATAAAAAATTTGCAATGATGTGGAAAGATGTCTATAACCCCATTAAAAGAAGGTTACAAAAAGATATATATTAGACTCTCTTTAAAAATATTCATAGCCGAAACCGGTTTGGCTCAGTGCATAGAGCGTCAGCCTGCGGACTGAAAGGTCCCAGGTTCGATTCCGGTCAAGGGCATGTACCTTGGTTGCCGGCACATCCCCAGTACGGGGTGTGCAGGAGGCAGCTGGTGGATGATTCTCTCTCATCGATGTTTCTAAATCTCGATCTTTCTCTCTTCCTCTCTGTAAAAAATCAATAAAATATATTTTAAAATATATATATATATAAAAATATGCATAAACAGCTCTAGCCAGTTTGGCTCAGTGGAGAGAGCATTAGCCCCTAGACCAAAGGGCCCCAGGTTCAATTCCAGTCAAGATTTCAGTTCAATCCCCAGCCCAGGTGCATGTGGGAAGCAACCAATCAATATGTTTCTTTCACATAGATGTTTAATAGATGTTTCTCTCTGTCTCTCCCCCACCTTTCGACTTTCTCTCTCAAAACAAAAACAAACAGGCCGAAACCGGTTTGGCTCAGTGGATGGAGCGTCGGCTTGGGGACTGGAGGACCCGGGTTTGATTCCGGTCAAGGGCATGTACCTTGGTTGCGGGCATATCCCCAGTAGGGGGTGTGCAAGAAGCAGCTGGTCGATGACTCTCTCTCATCGATGTTTCTAACTCTCTATCTCTCTCCCTTCCTCTCTGTACAAAATCAATAAAATATATATTTAAAAAAAAAAAAAAGGAAAAATATCCTTGGGTGAGGATTAACAAAAAAATATATGCATAAACAATTTTATTAACCTGTGCTACCTCAATCAATAAAAATAAAAAATTATATTTTTAACAATAAAGAATTATAAAAATTTAAAAATATATGCATAAACAAACTTGTTTAAAAAGGCTAAAAGGCTAGGCAGTAAAGTTCACAGTAGTTATCTCTGTCTTGTGGGATTATGGGTGATTTTTCATACCTTTGCTTCTATGTATTTTCCAAATTTCCTATGATGAACATGCATTGTCTTTGCCATAAGGAAAAGACTGATTTCTTTTTCTTTTTTCCCCCCCCAAAAACACATAGCTATTCCCTTTCAGATGGCTTAAGATAACAGATTACCTTAAAGCAAGCATGTCAAACTCAAAGACTAACATGGCTAAATAAACACGGTTTAAGTTTATGTGGCCTGCAAAAAAACAAAAGCTTCAATTTTCATAGAAATATATGTTTATCTCAATAGAGACATGATGAATATAAAGGACTGAAATAAATGAGTAATCATTAACATAAAATAATAGAACAATTTAATAAAAATGTAAATATTTTCATGACCATTAACTTATCAGACACTGAATAACTGCACAAATTAATAAGCATACTGAAAATAAACCTATTTTTCTTGTTCTCTGAAAGTAAAATATTTCCTGTTGCACACACCAAACAAATCAGTACAAGACTATTGACATGGCAATCGGCTGCTAAAATATTCACTGTTGCCGAACCGGTTTGGCTCAGTGGATAGAGCGTCGGTCTGTGGACTAAAAGGTCCCGGGTTCGATTCTGGTCAAGGGCATGTACATTGGTTGCGGGCACATCCCCGGAAGGGGTTGTGCAAGAGGCAGCTGGTCTATGTTTCTCTCTCATCGACCTTTCTAGCTCTCTCTCTCTCTCCCTTCCTCTTTGTAAGAAAAATCAATAAAATATATTTTTAAAATAAATAAATAAATAATAAAATATTCACTGTTAGTATTAGTGAAGAGACATGGTACACTTGCACGTAAGGCACGTAAGGGAAATGAATGCAACAGGATTATAGTAAACAGTCATTAGTGAACGTTGTGGTTTGTTATTAATAATTATGTATAACAATACTGTAAAAATTAAATTACAAAACTTTCATTAAAATATTTATTACATACTGTTATATTGGCTGGGCAGCAAAAATATTTGCTGTGGGCCACATGCAGCCCGCAGGCCACAAGTTTGACACGCTTGCCTTAAAGCCTTGGCTAGAAAGGCCTCGTTTACAACAGAAATTTCAAAGTAGCTTAGAAATCAGTAGAGTGTAATTGATGGTCTAAGGCTAGTGCCCTATATAATGATAATGTTTCACTAAATGACAGTATCCACGGTCATTCTTATTAGTGTAGGGTCAACTGTTCACTGAAAGTAACAGACATACTCTTAACGGCGCTTCCTAACAGGAGAACTAGTCACCCCACTCAGTCTTCCCAATAACTCCATGAGTGGGTCCTATTTCTATCCCCATTTTACACATAAGGGAACTGAGGAACAGAGAAGTTATTTGTCCAGGGTGACAACACTGGTGAGTAATAGAAATAGGGTTTGAACCCAGAGAGTCTCATTCCAGACCCCACATTCTTAAATTACATCAATATGCTACCTTCTTGATCTCAATCTTGCTGTACCATAAAAATCACAATAAGCTGAGCAACTATTTGTTAAGCAAGTTCTGGTAAGGAAGCGTGTTAAGCATTTTATAGTTCTCATTATTTCTTCACCAATCCAGGAGGCAAATACCATCTGTGATCACATTGAAACTCTTGTGGCTGGGTGATTTGCCTAAGGTTAAATGCTGGTAACTAGAACAAGCAGGTTTTGAATCTGGGTTACTGTGACAAAACTCTACCCAAAGCTTTGTACTTGGGGCCCTGGCTCCTCTCTGACTCTCTCCATAGGAAGGGCCTTACCCTACAGCAGTTATTTCCAACTGGTGTGCCTCAAGACGTTTTAAAACATGCAATACCTGAATATTTAGACCTCTTTCCCCTTAGATTGTAAATAAGAATAAGAATAATCACAGCCAATACAAAAATAGCTGTGAATGCAGTCTTGAATCATAAATATATAGATCCTATAGCAGACTTGCATCTTATTAGACACATTGCAAAATAAGGTTGCTTCTGATTGGTTAATTCTTGGTACCGGAAATTGTTGTATACAAGTGTA